GAGGAGGTGTTTAAAACACACATTTGAGGCAGGGTAAAATAATACACAGCTTGAATAAATCACAAAATACTACGCTTCAGTGAGGTAGAGCCACTTCAAATCTGATAGTAAATTCAACAGACTCAGAGTTAAAGACTGAATTATTTAAATTCACAAAAGTAAACATTTTAACACAAAATGAACCATAAGGAATGTCTTAAATATTTATAAGATATGAATCCTCTATATAATGGGTGAATTACTCCATTACATAAGAAGCTGCCACAAATCAATATAAAAATCTAAAAATCAAACAGAAAAAAATGGACAAAAATATGGATATACATCATATGTATGACAATATGCATCAGAATTATGAATGCCTATGCTCTTTAACTCAGCAATTTTAGTTCTAGTAATTTAATCTGGTGGTTTAATTCACCTCTGTGAATGGGCATACATCAATGATATCTATTACAGCATGTATTGTTATAAAAATAAAAATTGGATTAAGCAGCTAGTTAAAAACAAACATCTGAATAATAGACCATGAGTTTCAAAAAAATGAGGAAGCACTTCAGGCAATGATACTCTGAGGGCATGAGCACCATTTATTATAACTTTTAGAAATTTTATTGCATTTTAATTACATAAATAAAGGAAGTACAAGCCATAATAAAATTATTACATGATACTATAGAAAAGCAAGCTTGTACACTTGAAAGAAATGGAACAAAATTTCTAGAGATTCCATATAGTCAGTTAAGTAGAAAATTACTGAATATATTAAATAGGGCAGTGCACAGAGCTGAACAGAGAATTGGGCCAGTACAAGATGCATCTGAAGATATTATAATAGAATACACCAAAGATAAAGAGAAGTAAATATAAACAAATTGTTCAGAGATCTGAAGTAAATAACAAGAAATCTAAAGTTAATCTTATTGGAGATGCATAAGGAGATACTAGGCATCAGTGGCTGAGGTGACAGTTGAGAATGATCTAGAATTGATGATGGATGTAGGATTATCACATTCAGAGAGCACAAATTAGCTCAAGTACAATGCAAAGATAATCTACACCTAGGCACATTGTTGTGAAACCTCAGAACACCAAAAACTTAAAATATAAGCGGTGTCAACAGTAAATAAAGACAGGATGGAAATCACCCTTATATACATCAGCTGACACCACTTGGGGTCTTTCCACATCAAGGACTATAGCCAGAGGACCATGAGCTGGCATGTTCACATGTTAAGGGTACGGGACATTCCAGAATTACACACATGGAAATTAGGATTCTATAGATGAAATTTATCTTTCATACACTTATACAAAATAAACATTGAATTGCCTTGTTCAGGACAATTTCCATTGATAAATCCAGAAAACAGTCATCAATCTAGGTAGGCTAGATTTAAATGCCAGGAGGTCAGGCAAAGCTGGCAGGAGCAGGCAGGAGCAGGAAAGACCCAGAGAGTTAGGAGTTGGCAAGTGACAAGCATAAAATTATTTTTGCACCAAATTAAACATTTCATTTTGTTTTTCCATGAAATTTTTAAAATACCCTGGCACTCCAAGTTGCTCCTCTTCCAATCCAGCTCTCTGCTGTGGCCTGGGAAGGCAGTGGAGGGTGGCCCAAGTGCTTGGGCCCTGCACCCACATGGGAGATCAGGAGAAGCACCTGGCTCCTGGCTTCAGATCAGCATGCTGTGCCGGCCACGGTGTGCCGGCCACAGTGGCCACTGGGGGCTGAACCAACAGAAAAAGGAAGACCTTTCTCTCTGTCTCTCACTCTCACTCTGCCTGTCAAAAAAAAAAAATAATAACCTGGCACACCATGAATAGGCTCAAATACAGATATTGAGGTTAAAGAAAAAGTAAACAAACTCATCACAAGAATTTAAAGAAGCAATATATTGAAATAAAATGTTAAAACACCTAAACTACTAGTTTCACATCTGGGAATGAAGCCAAAAAAATACTTTTAATGGATGTAGAAACAGTGCATTAAGAGGTCTTTTTCTTTTTTAATTAAGTAAATAATAAAGGGCAGAAAGCCAGAGAGGTGAAGAGAAAGAGAGGTTAAAATCAGATAGAAAGGAAAAAAAAAGCAGATCCATTGACTGATTCATTCCCAAATAGTGTCAATGGCCATACTGGGATGGAATTGAAGCTAAGAGCAAAAAGTGTAATCTATGCCTATCCTGTGAGTTTTGGGAACCCAATTAATTGAGCCAAACTACTATCTCTCTGAGTCTACATTAGCGGGATTATGAAATCATGAGCTGGAATCAGGAATCAAATCCAGGTGCTCCAGTGTATGATACAGATATTTAAACAACCATCTGGAACACTAGACTAAATGCCTACACCTTAGAAACTTATTCCTAATAAAACTGGATCTATACATGCAGAAGTATGAAACAAGACCCCTACCTAACACCTTACACAAAAGTCCACTCAAAGTGATCAAAGCCCTTAATACATAACTCGATACCATCAAACTGAACATTGGGGGAACCCTATAAAATATTTTTTACATAGGCAAAAACTTCTTGGAAAATATCCCAGAGCACAAGCAAACAAAGCTAAAATTGACAAATGGCATTACATAAAACTAAGAAGGTTCTGCACTGCAAAAGAAACACTAAGAAAGTTAGTGAGGCAACCAACAGAATGGGAGGAAATATTTGCAAACTGAGGAACTGATAAAGGATTAATAGAATCTATAAAGAGCTCAAGAAATTCAACAACCTCCTTATTTGATTTATAGTGGTATAAATTTAATTCTTCAACAAACAGCTATGACTCTCCTTCTGCCTTGCTTAGAATACTGAGGGAATTCCTGAATTTATAAAATAGAACTCAAATTCACTAGCAACTGGGCATTCTTTTAGGGATTTAAGTTTATGTTTAATTTCTCTTAATAAACTTCATATATTTTGTTCTGTATTTGCCATTTATGATGTTATGCTTGCTCAATTCCACTCTTCTTATCTGGGAACACCTTTATGCTGCTTCTTTACATATCTACCTTGAAATTCCATCCCAAATAGCATATAAAATAATTCTTTCATTGCTTAATGAAAATCACATTTCATCTGTACTTGGTAGTACTGAAGAGTACATATACTTATATACATTTATATAAAAAATTTATTTACATTATAGTAGATTATAGTAAAGATTCACTCAGATATATATATCCTGATATGACTCCTTGCTCTAGTTCTCTGAGAGTCCTAGTAAGGGTCATACATGGAAAGGTTAAGGAGTGTTAGAGATTGAACAGCACTTATGAAAGTGTGTACTCACACTTAGAAGCAAATGATAAACACAAAATGAGAACACAACCTTATAAAAATGTTTTGAAATGATAAGAATGATAGTATGTATCTTATATAAATGTCCTTACAAAATCAAAAAAGAAAAAAAAAGTGGATTTCCTCTCCCTGACAAAACTGTCTTGGATGATTTAGAGTTGCAATGTTGAGTTCACTTATTGCTACCCAGTGCCTAAAATGCAGCTAGCATTAACCAAGAGGTGCTGTCAATGTGAGGCTCACAACAGACTGGAAATAATAATTTAAAATCCTCACCAATAATTTTTATAATAAGTTGAAATATATTTTTATATTTTATTTGGCTGAAGAAAATGTCATTAGAATAATTTTACCTCCTTATTTTTACTTTTTTAATATGCGTACTAGAAAATTTATAATTACACCTCACATATGTTTCTACTGGAATCACCTGCCTGGTGGTAGAAGAACAGACATAGACACCTGACCCAGACCTTTGAAATTATAGGACATTATTCTTCCAGCACCTAGAGTAATTTAACTTGAATTCCTCTCTATTTTGGAAAATAAAGGAATAGTGAGGGCTATGGAATCATGGTAGACCTGCCCCACTACTAGCATAGCTGGCAAAGGCCAACACTGTCACTGATTTACCATTCTTCTTTCTTGATAAGCCTGACAATTTTTTTAAATAGGATGGGGGTGTAGAAATATATGGGCAGAACTTTTGGAAGTGACACTCAAATCTGATTAAGAGGGAGGACCTAAAGCTTGAAAAGAAGGCATAGATCTCCTAGGACTTACCTATGTGTACATGCACATACACATACATTTACATCCTATTTAAAAAATTGAGTCAGGCTTATCAAGAAAGAAGAATGGTAAATCAGTGACAGTGTTGGCCTGAGCCAGCTATGCTAGTAGTGGGGCAGGTCTATGATGATTCCATGGCCCTCACTATTCCCTTATTTTCCTTTATTTCAAAGCAAACAGTGAGAGGCCAGCATTATGACCAAGCGGGTTAAGCCACTGCTTAACTGGCATCTGTTTTTGGACTGCTAGAGTCCCTGCTTATCTGCTTCCAACACAGCTCCCCAGTAATAGGCTTGGGAAAGAAAAAAGGATTGTTCAAGTTTAAGTACCTGCCACCCATGTAGGAGACTCAGAGTTCCTGGCTCAAGATGTGCTATCAATGTGAGGCTCACAACAGACTGGAGATAAATGATAAATGAATTTAAAGAGGCTGTGGGAAAGATCAATGTTTTACAAATCCTATGAAAGGTCAATAGGCAGAGTGGACAACAAATATTGACAGGAGAAAAGAGAAAAAAGATTAAATTATGTTATATTTTTAAGTATCGTTCAGATCAATATTAAAAAGCAATACCAATGACCCAACAGGAAAATGAGCAGGAATACGAGGAAAATGAAGGCTCCGGAAGTGGATACACAGAACTGTACTCACTGAGGCAGGGTCGGCCAGCATCAGGCAGGATCCGCCAGGGAGAAGGACGTGGACCCAGGTCGAGGCCACGGGCGGCAGGAGCTCGGAGGTGCGCGCCCGGGGGCGGCCACTGCAGACCTGAACCCAGGCCTGTCCCCCCGTTCCCATCCAGGACACCCGACGTCAGGGGTCCTGCTGTGAGGGATGCTGATTGGCTCCGTCCTCTGTGACGTTGCGTGCACGCAAGACCGGCAAACTGCCCAATCAGGCACGGTGCCGTCCACGCTGTGTCAGCACGCGGGCCTTGACGTCACAGTCGTCTTAGCGTTCCAGCGAGTGAGGTCCGGGGAGGCAGCTCAGCTGCCGTGAGTCTGCCTAAGTGAAGTCGGCCTCTGCCTCTCTCCACTTTCGCTCACCGGGGACTCTGGGCACCTACGGAGCCGGACACCGCGACACGGTGAGTGTGTGGGCCTGGGGGTCCGAGAGGGGAACCCGGAGCTGCAGGCCGGGAGGACGCTGGCCCTGCCACTGTGGACTCCATATTGGCGCTGGCATAGGGCTTCCCTCGGTCCCCAGACCCCTGGGTTGAGGGCTCTGCCGGCACCCAGGACCCCCGAGGTCCTGCCGCTTCTCTGCCCGCAGAGACTTCTCGGTCCCGGAGCTATAGCGGGCAGCTGTGTGGCGGCAGCTCCGCGTCTCCCCGATTGTGCAGCGGGGACGGGGTGGTCACTAGGGAGAACGCAGGCTCTGTGTGTGCGGTTCATGCATAGGCGCTGTCGGTTCCTCCTCTTCCCCACACGGACCTGGTTCCCTCGAGATTCTAAATATGTGGGCCGCAGGGTCTTTTCCAGGGCACTGGCTTCACGTAGCTGTGTCTGGGACGTCTCACTCCGTTTTCTGTTTGCAGTAACGCAGTAACATAGATTGAGTAAGGTAGAAACCGAAGTTTTATTTGGCTCAGAGTTTTTACCCAGGTTTTAGAGGGGCAGGAGGCCCCTGTAATTCGGTACTTGGGTGTCATCTTAGCCCTTACACTTCCTCCTAACAGATGCCATCTATATTTGCACTTTCAAAATAGAAATTTTGGCTACTCAAATTTGTGTGTGTTTTAAAAACGATTTCTGTTCCATGAAAGCCTTCCTAATCCTGAATATATGTCTAGTTTACCAAGTTATTTTGAATTTATATTTTAATATCGGAAGTTTTTTTGCTTGTTTTATTTTTTCAAGATTGTCAGAGTATGACTGACGCAATTTGTGCATATTCAAGGTATGTTTTGCTATATGAGGGGACCTTAAAAATTATGGACAATTCACATTATCTTTTGATTACATCTTTTCATAAACTTTCTGGAATCCTTTTGTGCATACATATTATGAAATGATTAGGACAATCTAACATATCGATCACCTTACACCCCTATGTTATTAAAGCATACGTAAGATATTAGCAAGTTGTGAGTGTGTGATATAATCATCTAGTTACTGTGTTGAATATTAAGGTCTTTGTCGCTCCCCCTCTTCATGGAGGAACGACACAGGACCCTGCACTGTTCTTTTGTCTGCTCGGCCCTCCCCGGGTTTGTTGCTGGTTCTTCCCGGGTGGGCTACCGACCCTTCCACCTCCGTGGAAGGGCGGTTCCCCCTGCCACATTCCCCACTTCCGCGGGGGAGCGGCACACCGCCGGCCGGCTCTCTCGGGGGCTGCACAGGTGTTCCCCTTAGATGTTCCTCGTGCATGCCGTCTCTCTCCTCCTTTATAGTCCTCCTCCGCCAATCCCAACTCGGCTGCCCACACGCTGAGTACGCTGCTCTCCTCCAATCAGGAGCAGGTCCTGCTGTTTATTGGTTGAACTGGAGGCAGCTGGGTAGAAGCTGTTTCCCTTCTCAGCGCCATATTGTGGGAGAGCAGATGCATAGAATAAGTCTTAATTCCAGTAACTTAGTCTAGTCCGAGTTGCTCCCCACAGTCTTGAGGTGTTATCTCATAGCTTCAAATGTGTGTTCTGCTAATATTTTCCCATGTCCTCACTCTCAGCCCATGATAACCACCATTCTGTTTTGTGATTAAGTGTGACTTTCTTAGATGGCACATATGAGTGACATTGTGTGGCATTTATTTTTCTGTGCATTATTTTAAATAGCCTAATGTCCACATTCATATTTTTGGATCCTCATTCTGACAAAATGGAAGAATTTCCTTTTTAAGGTTGACTGTGATTCCTGTGTGTGTGTGTGTGTGTGTGTGTGTGGTGTGTATCACATTTTCTTTACTCATCTGTTGACAATGGGGTTGTTTCCATATATTTTTCTTGTAAATAATGCTGCCATTAATGTGGAGATACGTGTCTCTTTGAGGTACTGATTTTATCTCTTTTGTATACATAGGCAATAGTGGGATTGCTTTGTCATATGTTCTATGTTTAATTTTGATTGAAGACCTACACAGTGTTTTCTATATTGGATATACCAATTTACTTTCTATCCAGCAATTTTTATATTCCTTTTTTTCCTCCCTGGTCCAAAGTTATCTTTTTACTTTTGGATAATATTCATTTTAACATATATGAGATGATAATCATTGTGGTCTTGATTAGCATTGTAGTCTTCGTTAGCAGTTTTTGAGCCCCCTTTCAGTTACCTGTTGGCTACTTGTATATATTCAATGGAAAACTGATCAATCCTTTGTGCGATTTTTATTACAGTATTTGCTTTTGAGTTGTCTGTGTTCAAACTCAGGCTTTCCAATACTTTCTTCCCTTCCTTGCTTTATCTGTTCTGTTTTTCCTATCGTATGAAGAATATTTCTTAGATTTCTTGCAGCCTTTGCTTTTTCACTTGTGCTTTTAGTATCATATCTAAACAAGCATTGTTGAGACTAATATCAAGGAATCTGCTTCCATTTGTAAGGGGGTTTATATTCTCAGACCTTTTATGTAAGCCTTCAATTCATTTTGAGTTGACTTTCATGCCTGGCGTAATATAAAGATATTTCAGTTTTTGGCATGTAGATGTCCAATTTGCCTCTGCTTCAGATGTGGTCACTAAACAGTGTGTAGCCACTGGGTAACTGTGGTGTTACTTACTAGTCCCAGCATCTCCAAAGATGTGCCTCTAACTGGGCAGGATCCAGGCAGAAACTGTCACAGTCCAGTTTTTCCCTAATCTGCCTTGTCCCCCAGACCCACTCTTCTGTGCTCTGCTGCTCTTCCCTATCCACATGAATAGACCTCAGGCGTGAGCATGCAGAGACATGTGAAGTGGTGTGCAATGTTGGGGAGAAGCAGAAACTATGTAGTAAAGGGGCAGGGCCCAGAAGTCTCTGTCTCCTTTCTCCGAAATCCTTGGATATACAGAGGCACTTCCAAAATTCATCACAGGATCGACATTTGGCACCTGTTACAACCCTGCTTAGTATGTCCACATCCCATATTGGTGTGCCTAGGTTACAGTCACAACTCTCAATTCCAGCTTTCTGCCAATACTCACTTTTGGAGTGAATGATGGCTGAAGTATGTGGGTCCCTGTAACCCACATGAAAGACATATCATCTGGAAAACAGAGCTGATGGCGTCCTCCATGCAAAGTGGATGGACATAAGGTGTTCCTTTGCTGCAGTGTGTGTTGGTGATCTGGAAAATAACACACTCCATCATGAACTTCCTTATGTCAAACAATGATGTGCAACTGAGAAAAGGAGGCCACTAAGATATTTAGGCATTTTTCAATTAGTCTATGCAGCTGCCATCCCCACAGTGAAGGGGAACAACTGGAATGGTCCCACTCTGACCACATGGATGCAGGAGGTTTATTTAAATTTTGAAAATTAATTTTATTCACATTAAAGGCACAGAGATCTCTCACCCACTGTTCTCTCTCCAGATATTCACAATACCTGGGATTGAACCAGGTTGTCATGTGAAAACATCAGGTTTTATGAAACAAAGATCCCAGAACTCAGTATGGGTGGCACAGACCCAAGTATTTGAGCTATTATCTGCTGCCTTGTAGGGTGCACTTTAGTAGGAAGCTGGATTGGAAGTGGAGTAGAACTCAAACCCACACACCCTAATATAGGATGTGGGTCTCAAAAGAGCCATATTACATGGTGTTCCCCAGTGCTCATCCCTCTATTATTTTAAGAGGACTCCTACAGCAGTCCAAACCAACTCTGCTGGCCCTGATGGTTATAGTCCCTGAAGTTTAGCTGTGCAGACCCTCAACACCATAGAAAATACCCATGTACATCCACCCAATGGAGTGTTCACAGCAGCAGCTTCCTGTTGTGCTCATCACCCAGAACTGTGCAGCTAGAGGTGTGCATCAGGTGCTGTTCTCCCTGACATCTCTTCATCCATTTTCCACATGCTGGTACCACACCTGGCCATCCTCATCAAGTGATCACTACTGGATGCTGTGCTAAAGGGAGATCCCAAGTTGTCTCATTTCAGGTAAACCTCATGTGTTTCAGATACTCCTCGGCACAGATGTGGCTCATCCCCCCAGATAGTCTCCATAGCAGGTCCCTTGGCACAGTATTTCATGCATTCCACAGACACCTCTCTGGGTGACAGTCACCTGTTTACTGGGCTCATAGCCTAAATAATTGTGACCTCTTGGGCACTGAATCAGGTATTACTTTATCAGTGTGATGAACTAGCCCTGCTTGGTCATTGGCAAAAAGGAAGACAAGCCCTTAGTATACCTGCATGGTCAACATATTAAGGCAGGACTCTTCCTTTTACCATGAACCCTGGTATTGGTCCTTCCCACTTCTCACTTACCATTTCTCAACCTTGGTTGGCATGGGCACTCTGGAATATCTCTTCTCCACCGAGCCTAGTGCTTTGTACGGATGGGGTATGCTGACGAGGAGCCTGCACATTTCCTCCAGCACCTCTGCAGCATCAACACTCAAGCAGGCCATGGTAGAAGTTGCTTCAGTTAATCACCACATATTGGAAGCCTGTGTTCTGAAATTTGTATCCATAACTTACCAGTCTTGCCCCTTGTCAAGGCTGGAGAAAGAGGCATACTTCTGATTACCACAACCTAAGCAAAGTCATACCTCCTTTTGCCAGTTATTGTCAGTATCTTCTAAGATGCTCAGTGCCTCTGCCTTAACTTTGCATTGTTGACATGGAAACTATCTTTTTTGGTGTCTGAAAGGTTTCATTCACTTTTACATTTGAAGCCAATGATACAAATGAAGCTTCTGAAGCATAACTCAGTAGTCCCCCACTGGTTCATTGTCTGTGTTGATAGTATCTGTCTGCCCTCTAACTACTATGTGGCATCCATTTGTGAGTCTGGTTGACTTCCTTCTGAAAGTTAACCAAGGGGCCAGTGCTGTGGCACAGTGGGTAAAGACACCGCCTGCAGTGCTGGTATCCCATATGGTTGCCAGTTCAAGTCCCATCTGCTCAACATCCAATCCAGCTCTCTGCTATGGCCTGGG